CAATTTTAAGTTTGACTAGATCTTAAAAAATATTAATATTTATGATACCGAATAAACATCGTTAGGTTAATCATAAAACAGTGGAATATATTTTCACATTATAGCTATTTGAAGTTATAAGTATTTAAAATATTTTCTATAAATTAGCCTAAATTTAATAATGGATGTCTCAACCCAAACATAGAATTATGGTTCTTAGGATAGAAGTAATATCAACATTAATTTCTCTAAATATATTTACAATAAAAATATATTTCACTATCAATATCTTTTTTTTTACAGATTTATAAGTTGAGAATACTAGATTCCTCGCAAACCAAGATTTATGGGTTTAGTTCCAGGGTGTAAAGTTTTGGGTGTCACATCGGATGTCACATGAGGGTGTCGCATGAGGTGTTCGGATACTAATAAAAAAACAAATTATAGAATCTGTCAGTAAACCGCGAGACAAATTTATTAAGCCTAATTAATCCTTCATTAGCATATGTGTTACTGTAATACTTTATTGTCAAATCATGGACTAATTAGGCTTAAAAGATTCGTCTCGCAAAGTAGTCGTAATTTGTATAATTAGTTATTTTTAGTCTATATTTAATACTCCATGATTATGTCCAAACATTCAATGAGATATGGTATAAACTTTAAGGAAAGAACTAAACAAAGGCTAAGCAGCACTCCCAGTTAACAGTGGCAACACCATTACTACACTACTCCAGCAAGCAGCAAGCTTTCTGCTACAGTACAATACACTTGAGGCCTTGTTTAAATCCAGACCGTAAAGTTATGGGGTATCGTATCAGATGTTATATGGGGATGTCGCATGGGGTATTCGGATATTAATAAACAAACAAATTAAAGAATCCGTCAGTAAACCATGAGACGAATTTATTAAGCATAATTAATCCATCATTAGCACATGTGTACTGTAGCACTTTATTGTTAAATTATTGACTAATTAGGTTTAAAAGATTCGTCTCACAAATTAATCGTAAACTATGTATTTAATTATTTTAGTCTATATTTAATACTCCATGTTCGTGTCCAAACTTGGATGTGACAAGATGTAAAGTTTGGGAGAACTAAGGGCGCGTTTAGATGGTATTTTTTTTTGGGTTTGGCTACTGTAGCACATTCGTTTGTATTTGGTAATTAGTGTCTAATTATGGACTAATTATGTTTGAAAGTTTCGTCTCGTGATTTCTCACCTACCTGTGTATTTTTTTTTCGTCTACATTTAGTACTTTATGCATTTACCGTAAGATTCGATGTAACATTTTAGGGTGAAATTTTTTGGAACTAAGCCGGGCCTAAACAAGAGCTGAGTGACACTGTGTGTGAGCTGTGATTGAACAGCAGAGAGAGAAAAAAAGAAGGAAAAAAACCCAGAAAGAAAAGGCCGGGTGGGGGTGTGAGAGAGAGTGTGAGAGTGAGAGTGACAGCCTGTTTGACCGTGGCTTATCATAAACAATCATAAAATTTTAATCAAAACAATATTTTTCGATTACACAAATCAGCCAGCGGTAAACAACCAAGCGAACGGCGTAAGACGATAGACAAGACGGGGAGGCAAAGCCAGGCACCACGAGCCACCCGCAGAGACGAGACGCCTCCCTCCCTTGTTCGAGCTGCCTGGGCGGGAAAGAGAAAGCGAGCTGGTGCCTGCGAGACCGCAGGAGACGCAGAGATTGAATAAAAAGAAGGGCAAGCAAAAGCAACGCGCGTGCCGGCTCGGAGAGAGGATTCTTGCGGGCGCGACTGGTTTCTCATCTCCGCGGCCTGCTCTCTTCCAAGTTCCAATCCACCCACCACCCGGCGCCGCGGCCGCCTCTAATCTGGTACGGCGGTTCTTCCTGTTGCTTCTCTGCATCTCTCGCGTGGGGGTGGTCGGGGGCAGGCAATGCGGGGGGTGCTGTTCTTGCGTCGCGTACTCGCGTCCCCGCCGATTTCTGTCCACCAAAAAACAGGGGATAGGGGGAGAGGAGCAGTAGCGCTTCCGGACCCGTTGGAAGTAGTAAAAACCGAACCTTTTTTTTTTGTCTGGCGTTCCACGCGGTTCTTGTGACAGTTGCCATTCATTCCCCACTGGTATTAATGCTCCCCGTTTCGCTTTTTCTTGCGGCCCCGTTTCTTGAATCTTGGCTGCTGGTTGCTTTTTTTTCTTCTGAAATTTTTTGTGGGGTACCGGGTGGGGTGGGTGCAGAGATGCTGTCCTGCTCCTTCCTCCTGGCGATTTTCGTTAGGGTTTTGGTCTGCATTGTGTCGCCGATGTGGGATTTTGCGGAGATTTTGGTGGTGGGCGAGAGCTGAGGTTTCGCAATCCGGCTCCCCACGCCGGATTTCCTGCGGGATTTCTTCTTTCCGCGTGCGGAGTGGGTTTGACTGATTTTGTTCGGTGGATTTGAAGGGATAAATCTCAGCTTTTTAAGTAAGCCATAAAAGTTGATCTTCGCTGGATTTGAGGATTAACTGTCCATCCCTCCGCAGCATTTTGTAGGAATCGGGGTTTTAGGCGCAGCTTATTTTCGATCTTGTCCACGGTTTTATTTCTATACACACAACGTTTTTTCTCCTCTGTTTTCTAGTAGAACACAGAGCTTGGAAACGGAAGGTGGATTTCTTCTCTGATAAATTTATCATTTCGGCAATTTTTAGACAAAAGGTCGCATTATGAAGCCTTGCAGAAAGAATGTTTGGCCGTACGTTTTCTCGGTCTCTGTAGCCGTACTCAACCCCTGCCTGCATCCTGTACAGATCTCTGTATCTTTTAACAGCTGAAAAGGAAAGAAAAATCTAATCTTGTGTCGGTGAGAGTTGCCTTGTAAACAATTTTGGTAATTGAATCTTCAGATTTTCTTGTTGTTCAGGCGTTATTTTACTGCATGATGTTCAGCTTAAAGTAGAAGAACTCACGCTGCAATGTGGCTTGTATTGAGTTCTCTTTCAACTTTCAGGGTTGATATATGAACCCGGGCCTTTGGAGATTTCGTCGTGCCAAAGCAACGCCAACCTTCCCTGTTGCTGCTTTGAATGTTCTGGTGGTTGTGGGATGGATCGCCGCAGCTGGCTCTGGAAGCGCAAGTCGTCAGATAAGAGCCCTGGGGAGAGCGATAGCTCCGGCTCAGCTTCATCACACTCTGAGCCTTACTTTGATGATCGGGTTCTGCTCCATCCCCTTTGATTCTTAATCTCCGCATGCTAGACATTATGGATTCCAACAATGCAGGGACCTATCTGCCGTTTAAACATCAGAATTGGGGTTTGGTCAGGTGTTCTTTTCAGATTTATGACAGCATCTTTTCTTAGGGATTGATTTAGGTCCTCAATTAAAAACAACAGGACAGTTTACTTTTGGCATATCTTGGCAAGATGTCATTTTTCTGCCCTGGATGGATTTATGAAACACACAGGTTTGTAGTTTGACCTGTGGATGGTGTTACAGAATAGGTTTCTAATTCATATGTCATTCAACTTGTTGGTGAATGTGCTGTTAAAAACTGGTCAACTGGCAGTGAAAATATAGATAGAACTAGAGGGCCAAAGTTTTCCTTTTTAACCTCTTCATTCATCAGGTCTATGTTTTCCTCACTAGTAGGACAAAAATAGGTGGTGGGAAGTGCCAAGCTAGATGTTCTTAAGCAACATATTTGTGCAACTGCAACCAACAGAATGGTTGTACTTTAGTCTTTTCCTAAGATCAAGATGCTTTTTGCAAGAGTTAGGTATAGTTGATACACTAGCTTTCTTCACGCTTTTGTTCTGCCTTATTGGATTGGTTTTACAAGAGTTAGGTGCTACTTTTGCCATATTGAGTGTCAGAAATTGGCTTTAAAGTTCTAGCTCCTAATGAAAATTTGGATTGGTTTAGGTGCTTGGAACTAAGTTCCTTTATTTTTGTTTCTTGGAGACTAGTAGTTGCCTTTTTTTTATTGCAGTAAATGGGAGAAATCTTGTGCCATGAAGGGTCATATTGGTGCATTATTCTAACCTATGAATGAATCTTGCATTGAAATTGTTAATCTGTCAGTGCAACTTTGTCTGTATTACTGTGTCAGATAGAGATGTGTTGACGAGAATTTCTGTTGAGTAACTAAGGGTGTGTTTAAATCTAGGGGCTAAAGTTTTGGGGTGTCACATCGGGTGTCACCTGAGAATGTTTGGTTAGTAATAATAAAACAAATTACAGAAATTCTCAGTAATCCACGAGATGAATTTATTAAGCTTAATTAATCCGTCATTAGTGCATGTTTACTGTAGCACCACATTGTCAAATCATGGACTAATTAGGCTTAAAAAATTTGTCTCGCAAATTAGTCGCAATCTGTGCAATTAGTTATTTTTTTAGTCTATATTTAATACTCCATGCATATGGCCAAACATCCGATGTGATAGGGACTAAACTTTACGGGGAAGAACTAAACAAGGCCTAATTCTGAAATTAATATGTCCATGTCGCTTGTCACTAGAATTTTTGTTTCGAGTTTTATGCTTCATAAGTTTGGTCTACAATCCATACATAAAGAAAGACATCTCATTTTACAACTAGATTATTTAGGTCATAACTCTTGAGTTGTACACAGAGTAATATGTTAGTCAATTTCAGTTTCTGTCTTTAAATATACATATACATTTAGGCTTGACATTGCTCTGGTGTTTGGTGTGCTTTGACTTTTCCAAGTGACATATCTAAATATCTATAAATTGCTTCAAAATTCAAAGTCATTTTGTATCTTAGTCGTTAAAATAGTTAGTGATTATGTGATGGGTCTCAAGCTTGATTGTCCAGTATGGTAGTTGGGATTTAGGGTTTTCAGGGCAGAGCTGTAGTTATATCGTTTTTTTTTCTTTAAAGGAGAATAGAGACTCGCACTTAGCTGACTCATCCATCCTGATAAACATTCCCATTATATCTCTTATTACCTATTTAATTTTAGATTCTTTGACCGCCGCTCTGATAAACATTCCCATTTACCCTTTTTTCTGCTAATCAGGAATGTAAACCTATGTCTAGTAATTCTTCTCCAAATCGTAGTCTATCGCCTGATGTTTCTTCTAGAATAATTGATAATGAGACTCAAGAAGCTGAAAGAGCAGAATCATTGAATGGGAAGCTGGTGTTGGCAACTAGCTCAAATGATTCTTCTCCACAACATGATCAATCAATGAAGCCAGAAGTATACCAATCACCGCTGCCAGAGGTATCCCCAAATATCAGGAATGATGATGTCCAGGATTCTGTAAAGAATTTGAATGAGAAGGTGTCCCCAAAGGTCAAGGACGATGATGTCCAGGATTCTGTAAAGAGTTTGAATGAGAAACTTTCTGCTGCCCTTTTGACTATCAATGCTAAAGAGGACTTGGTAAAGCAGCACACTAGAGTTGCAGAAGAGGCTGTTGCAGGTATTTTTTTTTATTTCCAGTTGAACTTAAATAAAATTTGCAGTTTGAGTGACTCCGTGCATAGGGTTACTCAGTAGTACCTCTCCATTTTATAGAATCAAGCTTACATGTGATGAAGTCAACTTGGCTAAAAAGATGAAAGCTATTTGATTAATTTGTTATGCACCTTCTTCAGGTGAAGATTAAAATGCTATCCTAAGAATGTACTGAATTGAATATTGTACTTTTCTTTATTTGTAGGTTGGGAACAAGCTGAAGCTGAAGTTGCTTCCCTGAAGCAACTACTTGAAACTGCATCCCAGAAGAATACCTCTCTGGAGGATCAGGTCAGCCACCTAGATGATGCCCTTAAAGAATGTGTAAGGCAGCTTCGCCAAGCACGCGAAGAACAAGAGAAGAAAATCCGTGACACAGTTGCTAAGAAGTCTAAAGAATTGGAGTCTGAGAAGTCTGAGCTCCAGCACCATATTGCTGAACTCAGTAAGCAGTTGGAAGCCACAAAACTAGAAGCTACTACTGTGCGTGTCCAGCGTGATCTGCAGGAAAAGCTTCAGATAGTGGAGAAAGAAAACAAAGACCTCAAGGTCGAATTACTTGCACTGTCCAAGGACCTGAAGATACTTGCACGGGAAAGAGACCTGAGCAACCAAGCAGCAGAAACTGCAAGCAAACTTCATCTGGAAAGTGTGAAAAGATAACAAGAGTTGAGGCAGAATGCCTTAAGTTGCGTCATCTAACGCGGCGTATGTCCTTGATCAATGATTCTAGGCCGATAGCTAACAGTGCTTGCATGGAATCTCAGACTGACAGTCAGTCTGAGAGTGGGGAGCGTATGCTAGTTGATGATGAAATGAAAAATTCTGATTCGTGGGCATCAGCTCTGATAGCTGAACTTGATCAGTTCAAGAATGCCAACACCGCACAAGAAATCTTGTGAATAATCCAGTTGAAATTGACCTGATGGATGATTTCCTCGAGATGGAAAAGCTGGCTGCACTGCCTGAAGTAGACTGTGTAAGCTCTAGCTTTGGAGCTGAAACTGATTCTGACCAGGGTGTGACTAGAGATAAATCATCAAAAGTTGAAACTGAGTCATTGCAGTGTCAGGTGACAGATTTGCTCGCACAGGTTGAAAAATATGAAGGTGAGAATAGGGAGCTCGAAATGGCTCTTGCAGACGCCAGAGATCAGCTTGGCACATCATGTGATACCCTAATAGTGGCCAACAATAAGTTGATTGATTTGCAGATGCAGTTGGACTTGGCAAATGAGTCCAAACATGCTGCTTTTTTGGAGAAGCTGAGCGACTGGATGGTGAGAGGAAAGATTTGGCATTACAACTGGAGTCTAAGTCTGCACAAGTTGATGAGCTTCAGCTGATGGTGGCATCGCTGGAAGAAAGAGTAGACAGGAAGGAGTTGGAATTCCAGTTAGAGTTAATTTCTGCTGAGGCCGCAGATCTGCGCAAGACAGTGGCTTCCCTGGAAGAGAAGATTGATGCAGAGAGAATTCTCTCTATGCAGCACAAAGCAAATGCAGATATGGCAGAGGCGTCCAAAGAATCATTAGAGGCACAGCTGCAGTCTGCAAACACAGAGATAGGGAAACTGAAAGGGATTGTGCAAACTTTAGAGAGTGAGGTGCGGAAAGAGACGGATTCTTGTGAAGAACTACTGAAACAGATAGAGACTATGAAGACTGAGTCAGAGAGATCACTATCTGTGGTGTCTACCAAAGAGTCATTAGAGGCGCAGCTCCAGGTATCGAATTCAGAAGTTGCAAAGTTGCGTGGGATGGTGAATGCTCTGGAGTGCGATGCAGCAAAAGAGAAGGCGTATTCTTCAGATCTCCAGATGCAACTTGAGGCAGTGGAAGGCATCAGGAAGGTGTTGAATCTGAACTTGAGTCTTCACACCAGGAGGTGATGAAGCTCAAGGAGAAGGTTCAAATCATTAGAAGTAAGGCTCAAGGACCAGACCTCGTTGCTTGTAGAATTTACAGCTAAATCAGAGGATGCAGTGTCCCGGAAAAAGGCAATGGAGGGTCAACTAGAAGCAGCAAATCTGGAAGTTACAAAACTGAGAAACAAGGTGAGCCTGCTCCAAGGGAAGGTCGAGCAGGAGAAGCTTCTGTCAGAAGAGTACGAAGCAAAATGCCGCAAGCTGGAGGCTCAGGTGTCGAGGGACAGTCGAGAGGCAAAACTTTGGCGCCTCACGAACTCAAATGGAGACCTGAAGGTGAAGCAGGTACAGCCCTGCCTGTCTGCATCTAATCTGAACTCGAAATATTGCAATATTAAACTTGACACGCCAGAATTTCCTAATCGCCAATTTCTTACCATTATCACAGGAGAAGGAACTAACCAGTGCTGCCGGGAAGCTTGCGGAGTGCCAGAAGACCATAGCTAACCTCGGTCGCCAGCTGAAATCGCTAACAGATCTTGATGGTGTGGCGTCCGATCCTGAAATGCTGGAATCGAGGGACACGCATCTGGACTTCAGAGATGGTGGCGACGACCTGCTCTCAGCGGACGTGGTTGACGGGCTGTATGAACTGGGTCTTCCTAAGAGGAATGGTAGCTGCCTCTCGCCCCTTTGGTCGAATCAGACGTCGGGTGGTTTGCCGTCCCTAAGTAGCTACTTGAGCAAAACAAAAAGGTGAAAAATCTTATGAGACCATTGTGCATAGATTATTTGACAGTCTATGGATGGTGTCAGTTGTTACCTGGTGGTAGATCGGTGTACATTTACAGAACTTGATGGTTGCTTACATGTGTCCATCTACTTTTTTCTCCTTTGCTGCGCTCCCATTTTCTCGTGTGTGTCCCTGCTGCTTTCATGCTCAGTGATTGCTAATATCTTCCTGGTAGGCTGAGTGCTGCAAGGTTTGTGACAAATTCATTAGCTTCCGTGAGACTGCAGGGTTTGCGACGAATTTGTTAGATTTTGTTAGACTGCAGAGCATTATTCTTGCCTTGGAATCAGTGTCCAACTCTGTTGCCGGTGGAAGCTTGTCTCTCCTTTGTTGCTGTTGCCGGTGGAAGCTTGTCTCATTTTCTCTGGTTGGATGCTTTGTCGCTGTGGTTATAGCTTCTCCGTAAGCAACCATTACGTTGATGCCTATTTTGTTCTCGCAGTTTTAGTCTGTTTTCAGGTTTAAGCCTGAAGGTCTCTCTTCCCGCTTTTTTCTTGCTGCTTTAGTCTATATATAATATATGCCATGTCGTTCACCACTGCTTGGTGATCTGTAACATATGCTATGAGGGTTGTCTCATAGTTGCGTTGTGTTAGCAGGGAGCTACCGTGGGGAAGAAGAAGAGCAGCAGAGAAGACAACGGAAGTTGGCGATGTCAGGATTTAGAATATTCAGAATTTGGGTTTACATACAATTTTCATGTCCTAACTACAGGTTAACCTAATCTGGGCCGGTTACATTCGTATTGGGCCGGCGCACACGTTGCAGCAGCTTGGGCCGATCAACTTGCTTCTCGGCGTTCCCCTCCGAGCCTTCTTCAGATTCACTCGTTTGCCTGTTGATGAACACGAGTAACAGCAGGCGTGACACATTGTCTAATTCTTTTCTTTTTAATTTATTTAGTGACCACACGTGCACTTTCGCAAAAAGAAAAGAAAAAGAGAAAGACCTTCCCAAGTGCCTGTGGTAGGAGGAATTTTCATCTCGTGCACCCGAATACTGGAACTGTGAGACGACTGCAGGGTTTGTGACAAATTTATTAGCTTTTGTATTCTGTGACGGAGTCGGAAAGGAATCCACGGTGCTCGCGGCGCATGGCGATTCTGTGCTCATCCAGGTTAACTATGAACGAGCCTACACGACCGACCACTTCGTCTACAACGCGGCCGGGCGCGCTAGCTCAATGCAAGTTCGTGAACATGCTCCCTCGCTGCTGCTGCTGCTGCGGCGGCAGCAGCACTGGTGCCACCTTCGGCGAACGTTCTCGCCACGCCTACACCATCCACACCTGGATGCTATCGATGGACAACGATGCCATGCATGGAGTGGGCGATGGACGGCGTGGTCGGCGGCACGGGTCCTCTGGTCGCTCGACGCCTACAGGCCGGGGCCGGCCTCCCGCGCGTGGGTATCACTGGAAACCTTCTCGCCATTTGCTACTGTCACAGAAACTGGTGGAACCTTTGTCACTGCCAATCTGAGTGTATCTACAGCCTTCTCACTGATAAATGTGCATGAGCTGCCTGAATCAAGAAGAATGAGAATCTGCTGATTGTTAACTAACCCAGTGAGCTTGATGGTTTTCTTGCCTTGGACCCCGGCTGCAGCAAAGTTGGACAAATGCCCTGTTCGTTTGGCTGATAAGCCATGGCTGAAAGTACTGTTGGTTGATTTGTTGTGAGAGGAAAATACAGTTCGTTGACTGAAAAAGTACGGCTTATAAGCCAAGTAAACAGGACGAAAGCAAAGACTTGCTCCTCATCACTGGTGTCTTCAGTAGTCGTGTCTGAAACTTCTTCGTCTGGTTGGATAGCTGCCATAACCTCTTCTAAGAGCAGCTCCAAGAGAATGAAAATTTAGCTCTCTAAACTGGCTTTGTAAAATAATATAGACTCTTAAAATAGACACGGTTCGCAACAGACTCGTAAGATTAGACTCTATTTTTTTAAAGTGACCACGTCATCACTAATTCAATCAATTTTGGTTGGATCCGTCACTCTTTTTATCCTTCAAAACAACACGATAAGTAATTTGTGTTGCGTTCTTCGTCACCATCATCAGATGCCAAGACATGCATGATACGAGCAATAGAGCAGTCACCTGTGCCGCGCTTGATTGCTTTTGATTGGACACGTGAGTGATGAACGGTGCAGCAAAAATTAATTGTCCCTGTCAGCCGAGTGGAGGTACAGAGGGAGGGGAAAAGGAGGCCGTCGCTGTTCCATCAGATATTTGACACATACATGGAGTATTAAATATAGACTAATTACAAATATAATTATATAGTTTACGACTAATTTGCGAGACGAATCTTTTGAATCTAATTAGTCCATGATTTGACAATGTTTTGATACAGTAAACATGTGCTAATGACGGATTAATTAGGCTTAAAAAATTCGTCTCGTGGAGTACCGACGGATTATGTAATTTGTTTTTTTATTAGTATCCGAACACCACATGAAACATCCTCCCGACACACCTTCTAAATTTTAGTAGAAGGATCTAAACACCCCCTTAGTTTGCCGACCGGAAAAAACGGGATAGCTAGTATGGCATTTTACAAATGCTGATAGCGAGTCTCTTTGATCCTCTTTTTTCTTAATTTTGCTAAAGCCGAGTGAGATAAAATGTCTCTTGGAGCTGCTCTAAGACATGCAAAGCCACTTTCTCTGGACACTTGTGATTTCTGCCCCACTTCTCACCACATTTCATACACAGTCCCTGTGCGCGCCTTTGAGCTCGGAGTGTTGCAAGTTTGTCATCCCACTTGGGCTTAGTGTCTTTAGTTTGTGGATTGCCCAAAATGCCTGGTTGAGTGTTGACCAGTTGCTTGCCCTGGTGTCGGTTGAAATCTCTGCCAGTTTTCTTGAATAATGATTTGGGTTGGCTCTCCAGCACAGAAACCTGCATTAATGCCAAGGACAAAGCGGCATCAACCGTTCTCGGTTTATGCAAAATGATGGCAGATTTAATTTCAGGATTGAGACCTTGCAGAAACTTGCTAACAAAGAAAACATAATCTAATGACTTGTTGTGAACTAACAACTCGTGCATAGCACTTTGAAACCTATCATAGATTCATAGTACTCTTGCACATCAGCTGTTTGTTTAATTTGGAGAAGGTCATTCATGGCATTGTGGTACAAATCTTTACCAAACTTAGACTCAACAGCAATGCAAAGTTCAGCCCAACTAATGTCTGAATCAGAATGTTGTGCTTCATATGTTTGTAACCAAAGTTCAGCACTACCCTTAAAGTGTATAGTGGCAAACTGAGACCACAAATGCATAGGAATGTGGTACATGTTAAAATACTTTTCACACTTCTCATTCCAGACTTTAGGATAAGATCCATCAAACTTAGGGAAAACGGCCTTGGGTAATCGAACCTCCCTATGGTACTGATAAGGCACATGTGTGTGATAGTACCGGGGGATTCACCCATATCAGTGAGGTGAGGTGGGGATCCCAGGGTACTGACCATTGGCCAGGGGCTGCTGGAGGACTAAAGCCCCCTTGTCAGACCCCTGTGTAATCGATGCGATGTCGTGGCCCTTGGCCCGCCCCTCTTCCTCGCGCGGCGGGGCCGAAGGAGGAGCAGCGTGGGGTTGAGCTTCCAACGCCTCAATGCGCGATGTGAGATTCTTGATGTCCTTGCTGAGCTTGGTGGAGAAGTGATCGACCTTGGGGCGCCAGCGGTTGAAGGTCTCCATGAGCAACAGCATAGACTTCATCTGCGCCGCAAGCGCATCCAACTTCTCTTCCGCGGTCGCCATACGGGATGTTAGGGTTGGGGGTTTGGGTTTGCGCGCCAGCGGGTGGTGGTGTCTGGGTAATGGTGGAGGTGGTGGTGAACTCATCGGACCAACCGGAGAGATGACCGGAATCGATGCAGATCGACAAGGCGCGCGATCGAGCGAATCCAGCGAACTCCCAGCAGGATTTTACGGATCCAAAACGAGCGAGAGATGGGGATAACGGCTCCGGTACCAAATGTGACGCACCTACAGCCAGAATAGGAGGATTTGCCGGTGTATGCACACGGCGGCGAGCTCGGCGGCGCCGACTCAAGCAAGGAGCACGAGAGGGGAACAGATAGGTTTAGTTTGTTTGATAATTTCGCTGACCTCCCAACCTTCCACGGGCTCAGCCCAATACATCTCTGCGGCACGCAGGCCGTCTTATGAGCCCAAGGTGAAGCCCACAGAGTATGTAGTCATGACAATCCTCTAGTCGCTCGACGCCTACAGGCCGGGGCCGGCCTCCCGCGCGTCCCACTTGAGTGCCTCGTCGTGATCGTGACCCCCACTTGAGTGACCGTTTGGCGGCTCCGCAGCTTTGCTGGATCCGCGGTGTCCACGTCTCGGCGGTCAGATCTCATCTCCGACTCCGGCTCTGAGTCGAGCTGCCGCAGGCTGCAGCTGCTGCTCCGACTCGACAATTAAGCTTCTGCCGCCGCCGCTGCCTATATAAAGGGATGGATACACAGGTGGGTTTGTTTCCCTTCCCATTAATCATCATACATATCGATCCGTCGTCGAGTCGATTTGTTCCGTCGTCTTGCTGGCTCATCGTTGTGCTCAGTCAAATCAATCCTCCGATGTCGATGCAGTCGATGAATTCCCGCCGGCAAGGTCAACGATATCGACGCATCCATGTCCTTACTGGGCCGATGGCCAGGATGGTGCAGCCAATCCCCGCGTCCTCTTCCATCCATCCTTACGACCACCTCTTCGACGATTACCTCTTCGATGATGATCTGTTCGACGACGATGATTATCTGGCGGCGGCCCCCGCTCATCGCAGCAGCAGCAGCAAGCGTTCTCGCGTCGCTGCCACTAGCGAGGAGGCCATCCTGAGCCCCCAGGAGGTGACAGGTCGTTCTCGCTCGGGGTCGGGGGAGGAGTGCGCCGTCTGCCTGCAAGACTTCCGCGCCGACGAGATGCTGAGGGCGATGCCCTGCTCCCACGCTTTCCACCAACACTGCATCTCGGAGTGGCTCCGCCGCAACGTCGTCTGCCCTCTCTGTCGCCGCCGGCTGCCCGACGAGGAGGACAAGCAGAGGAGGAGGATCTAGTCTAGGCGGATAGTAGCTTGCACCATACTGCTAGTTGTTGAGGTTGAGCATGCATCGCTTACTTAATTTCCCTTCTTGTATGTAGGCTGGCAGAATGGGAGATGCGTTGTTAGCTAATCTACTGTCACCTTGTGAGAACACAGCAGAGGAAGACGGCGCCGACTTAGCTGTCTGCTGTGTATGAACACAGCAAGAGAAGGCGGCGCCGACTTTGCCCCCTGCTGTGATACAGTAGCCGCTGCAGGTGCAGGCGCCGCACGGCTCACCTGCAGCACTGTAGGAACAGGCAGTGGCCGGCGCAGAGTCAGCCCTGTCAGGTTATCTAGTTACTGTACCAGCATGGGCGTTGCACATGGACTAGATAGCTAGAGTTGTATAAATAGACATGTATGGCAACTCAGTAAAGAGAGTTCAGATTTGCCATCACACAGACAGGGCTTCGGCTAACGCTGTTGCTTTGTATTGTGCGTGCTTGCTCTGTTCTCCCTTCCTCTTCTAGCTCGATCCGTAGTGTGTGGGTACGGACAACGCCGGTACGTGATCTGCACGGCTAGTGGGTGCTCGGCAACACTAGCGCGTGCTCGGCGAGACCAACAAGTGCTCCACTCGCCTGAGCCGGTGTTCGGCAAGATCGGCTGGAGTGTTTCACTGTCGTGAACCGGTGATCCTGTGAGACCAACGGAGTGATCTGGAGGCTATCTCGGTGGTCTGGAGGCTATCAGGTAGTGGTCGGAGGCTGTGGTCTCTGGTCTGGAGGCTATCTATAGTGGTCTGGAGATGATCTCGGTGGTCGGGAGGCTAACTGTGGGCCAACAAGTGGTATCAGAGCCGTACAAGCGCCGTCGTCATTCTAACCGATGGCGATGACAGGCGGTTCGGAGTTGGACGATGGCAGTGGCACTGTCATGGCTGCCCAGCCACTACCGGAGGTAGTTGTTCGCACGGTGCGGAAGGTCAGCGGCACCACTTGGCCGACGCTGACTCGCACTAACTATAGAGAGTGGTCGGTGACCATGAAGGTCAAGCTCAGAGCCCGTCGGCTCTGGAATGCTGTTGACAAGGGCACCGACGTGGAAGAAGACGACATGTCAGCGATGGAGGCTATCCTCGCTGCTGTACCGGTGGAGTACAGGGAACCGTTGGGGACGAAGAGCTCTGCTAAGGAGGCGTGGGAGGCCATTGCGGCGATGCGCGTCGGTTCCGACCGCGCAAAGAAGGCAACGTCCCAGCTTCTGAAGCAGGAGTACGCAAACCTCAAGTTCAAAGATAGTGAAGCGGTGGAGGACTTCTCCCTCCGCCTGCAGACGCTCATCAGCAAGCTGAAGAGCCATGGCGTCACCATCGACGAAGAGGAGGCGGTCTCCAAGTTCCTCCACTCCGCGTCTAAGCAAAGTACATCCAGATCGCTCTATCCATAGAGACGATCTTTGGACTTGTCCACCCTCACCATCGAGGATGTGGCGGGCCGTCTCACGGGCGGTGAGCGACGCTGGAGCGGCGGCGACAACGAACGGCGACGCTGGAAACTCCTGCTGACGGAAGAGGAGTGGGCTGCTCGGCGAAACTCTGGGAAGGCAGCCTCCTCTAGTCATGGTGGCAACGGCAAACATTGCGGCAGGGCTTCTTCGATGAAGAAGCAAATCGACTCCAATGCCTTTCGGTGTTGCGGGAAGATGGGCCATTGGGCACAGGAGTGCCCAAATCGCAAGAAGGAAAAGAAGGCTCAGACTCACCTGGCGAAAGCCGATGATGAGGATGAGGCCACTATCCTTATGACGACGTTCTGTGCATTGCACGACGTCGAGGCCATGGAGAGGGAAGAGGCGACGACGGTGGAAGAATCTAACAAGGCCCTAAAGACCGTCAACCTCGACGAACCACGCGCCCAAGTCCATCTTGGGCATGTGGGCGTCGACCGAGAGCAGCGGTGGTATCTCGGACTCGGTGCGGTAACCACATGACGAGCTCAAGGACTCCTTCTCCGAGCTCGACGGGCGATGTTACCGATGCGGTGAAGTTTGATGACGGCTCAAGGGTGGCTATCCAAGGGCGCAGCACCATTATCTTCGATGCCGAATGGGGAGCACCACAGCTAACGGATGTATACTACATCCCGCAATGCGTTCCAAAGATCATCAGCATTGGTCAGCTGGATGAGCGCGGTAGCGAGGTTCTGATCAAGGACGGCGTTCTGAGGATCAGAGACCGGAAGTAGCGACTTCTCTCCAAGGTGAAGAGGTCCCCGAACCGGTTGTACCTGCCGACCAAGGTAGAGCGGCCCGGTTTCTCTGGCGGCAAGGCACTCCGAGGAACCGTGGATGTGGCATGCCCGGTTCGGACATCTCAGCTTCGACGCGCTTGGTCGGCTAGGGAAGATGGTTCGAGGGCTACCCCACATCAAACACGGAGGCGAGCCAGGACACCGCTGGCCGGAAGCGAGGAGGCTACCTTTCCCAAAGGCGGCCAAGTATCGCGTGAAGGAAGCTCTCGAGCTAGTTCACGGCGACCTCTGCGGGCGATCACGCTTTGCTACATGCGGTGGTCGGCGGTACTTCCTCCTACTGTGGGACGATTGCGATCGCTACATGTGGTCGCAACTCCCGACGAAACAAGGATGAAGCGGTGGTGGCAATCAAGAAGTTCAAGACAGCCACGGAGGCCAAGAGCGGCAAGAAGCTCTGCGTACTGAGGACTGATCGGGGTGGCGAATTCACTTCGGTGGAGTTTGCTACGTACTACGCGGATCAAGGTGTGGGGCAACATCACACCGCTACCGTATCTCGCCACAACAGAATGGCGTGGTGGAGCGACGGAACGAGACGGTGATCGGCATGGCCCGATCCATGATGAAGGCCAAAGGGATGCCGACAAAGTTACGGGAGAGAGGGTGACCACGGCGGTGTTCATCCTCAACCGCGCTCCAACCAAAGCCCTAACAGGCAAGACGTTGTTCGAAGCTTGGTACGGGAGCAAGCCGAATGTGTCATTCCTCCGGACATTCGGTTGCATCGGCCATGTCAGGAAGACGAAGCCGAACCTCACCAAGCCGGAGGACGAGAGCACACCCATGGTGTTCTGGCTACGCGGAGGGTACCAAGGCGTCTCGCTCTATGACCCACGCGGAGACAAGGTGACTGTCTCGCGCGACGTTGTGTTCAACGAGGAGGTAGCTTGGGACTGGCACAGTCCGAGCACGGGGGAAGCGGGAGGCTTCACCAACACCTTCGTCGTCGAGCACGTGGTCATCCACGGCGGTGGAGACGCTACGGAACAGGTGCCACGCACTCCAGGAGGAGCGCCGAGCACTCCGGCGGTAGAGTCGAGCACTTTTGGGGCAGTGCCGAGCACTTTAGGAGGGATGCCGAGCACTCCGAGAGGAGTGTCGAGCACTTCTGGAGGAATGCCGAGCACGCCAGAGTGGAGCCAGTGGTTCTCTGATGGTGGCGACCACTTGGAGACGGGCACCGAGCACTCCGTGCAGAGCCAAGGCGTCTTCTTGTGGTTCCGACCACTCCAAGATCGAGGTCGGGCACTCCTCTGATGATGGCCAAACACTCACAGGAGTTATGGACGAAGCGATCCGAAAGCGATGCAGAGCACTTCAAAAGCTATCACGGGGCACTCCGGCGGAAGAAGGAACTCCATCACCCCCGATCGAGTTTACCTCACCTCCAAGTGACATCACTGAGTTCATGGACGCCTACCATGAAGGTGAGGAGTTGAGGTTCCGCAGGCTGGACGACATCGTCGGCGGCACAGGTCCCTCAGGTATGGCGGGTAGGCTGCTCAATGATGCAGAGCTGCTACTCGTCAGTGCAGAGGAACCACCCACATTCGTGCTAGCCGAGCGCGATGGAAACTGGCGACGGGCAATGCTGGAGGAGATGAAGGCAATCGAGGAAAACGAGACTTGGCAGCTCGTCGATCCACCCCCAGGATGCCGTCCGATCAGCCTGAAGTGGGTGTATAAAGTCAAAAGGGACGAGCTCGGTGCCATTGTCAAGCACAAAGCGTGCCTCGTCGCCCGAGGCTTTGTCCAGCGCGAGGGCATCGACTTCGAGGAGGTCTTTGCACCAGTAGCGTGCATGGAGTCGGTCAGTTTGCTACTTGCTTTGGCGGCAGCAAAGGACTGGCGCGTCCATCACATGGACGTTAAATCGGCCTTCCTCAATGACGAGCTGGCGGAAACGGTCTTCGTCAGGCAACCTCCAGGGTTCGCTGTCAAGGGAGAGGAGCATAGGGTGCTCCGACTGCACAAAGTGCTCTACGGGCTGAGGCAAGCCCCTCGAGCATGGAACGCCAAGCTTGACACCACGCTGGGCGAGCTTGGGTTTCAGAGGTGCGCAACCGAGCATGCGCTCTACACGCGACGACAGGGGAAGGAAGAACTCGTGGTCAGCGTGTATGTGGATGACTTAATCGTCACCGGCACGTGCACGGAGGATATCAATAGCTTCAAGCGAGAGATGGCAGCTCGTTTTCGAATGAGCGATCTCGGCGCTCTCTCCTACTACCTCGGCATCGAGGTGAGACAGGGGAAGGAGGAACTCATGCTCGGGCAAAGCACGTATGCCTCCAAGCTGTTGGAGAGGAGCGGCATGGTGGAGTGCAAGCCATGCATGACTCCGATGGAGGAGCGGCTGAAGCTGATGAAGGACAACACCGCGGCCAAAGTAGATGCAACACTCTACCGGAGCATCGTCTGCGGTCTGCGCTACCTAGTCCACACAAGGCTGGACATTGCGTTCGCCGTGGGCTACGTCAGTCGCTTCATGGAGGATCCCAGAGAGGATCACTGGGCTACGGTGAAGCGGCTACTACGCTACGTCAAGGGGACGGTGAATCATGGAATCATCTTCCCAAAGACCAGGAGAAGTAGGCTGCAGCTCACGGTGTTCAGCGATGCAGACATGGCGGGGGACATCGACGGACGACGGAGCACCTCTGGCGTACTCGTCTTCCTCGGGTCGGCCCCAATTTCATGGCTATCACTGAAACAG